TCCCTCTCTCCCTCCCGTCTTCTTCGTCACTGGTCACCGTAGCAAGCACAGGACAAGTCCGTATTCGCCGTTGTCCCTGTAAGTGCTCTCTCTCTCTCTCTCTCTCTCTCTCTCTCTGATTTCTGTAAGTCAAGCTGTGGGTTTTCCTGCACAATTTCAACAAATTCCCGATTTTTAACTGAATTTGATTGGGGCTTTCTGGTTATAAGTGAACTCTCTCTCTCTCTCTGATGTCTGCGAGTCAAGCTGTGGGTTTTCCTGCGTAATTTCAACAAATTTCCGATTTTTAACTGAATTTGATTGGGGCTTTCTGGTTATAAGCAAATCTGTAATACTTGATACATTATATTCTGCCAAGCCCTTGGTCTGGGTGTGCAGAAGTTTCGCTTCTCGGCGATTATCACTTTTTTGCATCTGGCTTTTGTCTTTTGTATGCTGATTTCTGTGTTGGTCCTTTCCTTCGTATACATTTTTTTTTTTTTTTTCACTATCAGACTATAATGTTTCCCCCACTTTGTTATATAGAAAACTGTAATCTCGTGTGGTGTCCATACCGTATACAACTATCTCAACTAACTCTTGTTTGGTGGCCACTTTCAAATCCCCACGAAAGAGGGTATACATTGCTGAGGTACTGTATTCAGTGATTTACGCCCCACAAAAGAGAAGGAGCATTTTCCTCAGTCCGTGAGAGAGAGATAAGGAAGCCAGCACCATGAATGCCCCAGATCGATACGAAAGATTTGTTGTCCCTGAAGGCACCAAAAAGTAATTTTAATACATGTGGGAAGACTTTCTGCTCCTCTCTAAGGTGTAAAGCCTAAGCCTGATTTTGTTTACTCTTTTGCAGGGTGTCATATGAGAGGGACACAAAGATCATAAACGCAGCATCCTTTACAATTGAGAGAGAGGACCACACCATTGGAAACATCCTCCGCATGTATGCATGTCATTCTCCTTTAATTCAAGTTTTATGTTCTGTCTTAACTCTTTTTCATTCCTAGGTTGCTTGTATAAGCCTAATCAAACCATAATTTGTTGAAATATTGTGGCAATCAGGCAGTTGCACAGGGATGAGAATGTTCTATTTGCCGGTTACAAGCTTCCTCACCCCCTTCAGTACAAGATTATTGTCAGGGTTAGTTCTCCAAATTTAATTTTCTATTCTATTTTTCAAATGACCTAGAGCAAAGAGCAAACCCTTAAGTTAGAAGCACAAGTGCTCTTATGATATTGTCGTTTTTACCTTGACTGGTGTTTTTGGTGGTACATTGGTCTTTTTGTAGATTCACACCACCAGCCAGTCTTCACCAATGCAGGCATATAACCAGGCTATTAATGATCTTGACAAGGAACTTGACCATTTAAAGAGTTGTTTTGAGGTAATGCCGTTTGATGCTTCTTCTTCTTAACCCTTGCTTTAGTAAGTCTCTTCCTCAGTGTTAGTCCAAGTAAATTAAGGTGTTGGGAATGCTTTCCAGATTGCAACATGACCTTTACTTTCATTTAAGGAATTTTAATACTTTTAATGTTGCGCCACTATGACCCTCTTGTAATAAATAGTGAAAAATTCAACTCAAATTATAGTTTGTTTTAAATAACTTGATAATATCAAAGTAGTATTTCTAAAAACCTCATAGGTCTGAGGGATGGTGTTTGATATCAAACGTCTGAGGGTACAAGATCATAGAAATGCTATCATATTCTACAAAAGTTTTAAAACATTTGAATACAAACTGAGGTGTAAATGTGAGGAGTGTTATGAAGTGTGGGTTTTCTTTCGAAATATTTTGAAAATACAAACGATTGACAAGAAATTATGTGTTTCAATTTGTAAGGCAAATGTGTTACGACTTGACTTAGGAATACTTATGTTATGATGAGCGTTCTTACATCTTTAAATTCCTGTTTGCAGGCTGAGGTGGCAAAGCATTCAGTGGAGTACTAATAGGCATTCAAAGAATTGTAAGGAGGCATATTTTGACAAGAGATGTCAGATAATTGTTGTTTGTTGGTATGCAAATTTGTACTGATATCGATTATTGCCTTTTGTAAACATGGAATCAAAGTACTTGTGTGAATTTTAATGATGTGATGTCTCCTGAAGTGTTTTTCTAAGCGCTACTGCCCCCTTTTAGTTTCGCTCCTATCGATTATATCTGCTTTGATTCTCTCTGACCTCTTCAATTTGGCTGGACAGCTCACGTTTTGTATGGGGCACAACTTTAACCTAATAACTATATGTGTGTTTATTTGTACTTGTCTGATGTCTGCATTTCAAGACTTTTTGCACAGCTTTAACTTTAAGCTTATAACAAATGTTCTGTCTTTGTATCAAGACTTGTATACTTGAATTTATTTTATTGTTCATAAAGAAGGCTTGATAATGAACTATTGATCACGCGAGGACGAGAGTCAAATTCTTACCGTGAGTTATAACTTCTATGAAGTTATGGAGACTTTGGATGTCCTAGTGAACTTTTGGTTGTAATCTAATTTTCCCAAAACCTATAAGGTCGGATGCAATGTCTAGGCACCAGTATGTCCGGTCAAAGCAGTTGGTTGATCTTTTCAAATTGAGTTAACACGTGCATTCAACTCACATGGTATATCCCACCAAATTTTGTCTCCAATCCTTTTCATATTATAGTTTCTAACTTTTTTCTTTCTTTCTTTTTGGTTTTAGCGAGTACTTTTCACAGTTGTCATGCAGAAGATTTTCTGTTCCCTAAAGTCAAATTGAATTAATCTTAGGAGGTGAAATGGTTAAGAATATTTATCTTTGTACTCATATATTTGATTTATCAGTATTTTGATATAATTGAAAAAAGTGGAGGTTCTACTTCAAAATTAATTGACAATAAGAGGAGTCAACCAACTCTTTTAAGCTCACACTAGGCCACCCTTAACTTTTAAATATGTGACAATACTTTCAACAACGCTTGTGGCAAAAAATAAAGAGGTGTTGTTTTATTTTCTGATTTATATTTCCATGTCCATGTATATGTACTATCTACTATGTATAGAAGATTATTGTGTGAATTTTTCAGAATTTTCCATGAAACCAATTGTTCCAAAATTTTCAGTCAAAACAGCCTACGTTGTAACCCCCGTCAGAATTGCGCTGCTGTGGAAGATTGAAGATTTGGAGACTTTTCCAATTTTTCCAAGTGAATTGAAGATTTGGAGACTTTTCCAATTTTTCCAAGTGACGTATGATATATCCCTAGAAACTTAAGAGATAGAGCTACAATTCCCATTGTTCTTGAGGTTCTATCTTTTGTCATGACTTAAAGGCATGAGGAAACCCTAACATGATGATATAGTTTTCTTATTTTGTCTATCTTTTGATTGATACATTATTGCTTCTTGTGGTTAAGAATTGTATTCGTCTAGGGTAAATACCATATTTCTATAGTTTACATGGCTATCAAAGGTTTTCTCAAAACTTAAAGAGTTTTTATGTGTTCATATTTGTACTAAATACCATAGACAAATTGCATAAGTATACGAGTTAGTCTAATTACAACAGGTAGTTCATGCAAAAGGCAAACTAATCAACAACATCAATTGGTTAAATAACGGATAGTTAAATAAGAGCCTAGATTGGATTAATTATTAGAGGTGGATTCGGTATCCTACTACTTTTACAAATTGATTTTCAACCCCTTTAATTTTCGTGTGCTTTGTTTGTTTTGGTTCTTGAGTTTTTGTTTATTTTATAGTTTAATTAAATCAATCAATCATTTGTTTAATTAAGTTTAGTGCAAGTTAATTAATTAAGATTCAATTTTCTATATGCTTCTTCGGTAACCCGAATGACACTCAGTCCCAGAGAGAGAGAGAGAGAGAGAGAGAGAGAGAGAGATAATGAAGCCAAGCGAGCACCATGAATGCAATGCACCAGAACAATGGGAACGATTTGGTGTCCCTAAGGGCAAAGGAAAGTAATTTTAATCCCTGTGGAAAACTTTCTGCCCCTCTCTAAAAGTACCTCTACCCCAAAAGGCAAGGACAAGGCAAATGCAAGGTAAGATTTGACACTATTCACGTAAATAGTGTTAGCTTTACCTTTTTTGGTTCCACCCCAAAGGGCAAAGGCAAGAGCAAATACTATTCACTTTACTTTATTTTCTATTTTTTTTATACTTAACTATTAATTTTGATAGCTTTTCAGATAATATTTTCAGTTGCCACGTGTCACTATTTATTATAAAATTCTCACATAAAATTTCAGATAACATTTTCGGATAAAATTTTCGGATAACATTTTTTGTTAAAATGTGTCCATATTTATTAAATTAAAATTTTCAAATGGAATTTTGCAGTAGAAAATTTGATATGGAAAGTGAAAAATATTGGGAGGAGATGAATTTGTATGAAGATTTGGTGCGGAAAGTGAATAATATTGGTAGGTATTTATAGAAAAAAAATTTCAGATTTTATTCATTTTATTTCAATTTTTTTTAAAACACTGACGTCAGTATGACGTCACGCTGACACCAGCAGCCTAAAGGCAACAACCCAATCCATTTTTGCGTGTAAGCTTACCCGGGCTGGTGGGGTCAATGGCTTGCCCAAGCTGGCCTTTCTGCACTGGAGAAGGAATAGGGGCCTAGGGGGGCCTGTTGCCATGGCAACGGCCTAGCGCTGCACATGCTCTACGGCCTATGGCGTAAAGCCTAAGCCTGATTTTGTTTACTCTTTGGTAGGGTGTCATATGAGAGGGACAAAAATATCATAAACGCAGCATCCTTTTACCTCAAAGAGTTGTTTTGAGGTAATTTTGTTTGATATGCTTCTCCTTCTTTACCTTTGCTTTAGTTAAGACTCTGACTCAGTGCTAGTCCAACTAAATTATGGTCTAAGGGATGGTATTTGATATCAAACATCTGAGGGTCCAAGATCATGGAAATGCTATTATAGTCTCCAAAAGTTTTATTAAAATGACAAACTGAGGCATAAATGTGAGGGATCTGAAGTGTGAGTTTTCCTTAGAAATATTCGGAAATACACACGATAGACGATAAATTATGTGTTTCAATTATAAGGCAAATGTGTTCGGCTTGAGTACTTATGAGTGTTCTTAGCATCTCCAAGGGAGTATGCAAATGAAGTAGGCAAAATTGTACTATAACAACCTAGGTGGCATGTTGCCGACCCATTTGCTTCATGAAAAAAGTTGGTCACTCCAAGAGAATAGGCAATGCAAGTTTACAAACTATTATTATATTATTCATTTTTATATTTTACATTTACTATTATATTTTATAGAAAGTAAGTGAGATAGTGGAGATAATATTTTATTTACTATGTCAATTAATGAAAATGATGACTGTTATTTAATTTAATTTATTTTTTTATAGCATACAAAAAAATATAAATATAAATATAAATATATATATATATTTGCCGAAGTTAGGAAAGGGATGGAGATCTCTTACACACACACGTTTGAACCTGAGACTACTGGTCTGCAAATTAAAGTCATTTTCCATTGAATTAGACAGTTGACTTACAATTCATAAGTTTACAGAAATATCCTTGCAACACAAGTAATGCACACAATTAATGCTTTACAACCCTTTTTGCATATTCTCTTGTGAACCATATTTGAGGTGGATCGTTTACTTATTTTTTTTTATTGTATGATGCGCTGTAAAGGTAAAGCTTTTGAAGTAGACTTGCGTTTATTTATAGAAAACCTGCTGCCTCATTCACATTACACATAAAGAAACTCATAATATGAAAATGGAATGAAGAAATTTGTATACAAGTTGTCATACACAATTAAGAAATTTGTAGATTATAATCATGATTATCAATGAAACGAAGTTTTTTGTATTAAGACTAATATGTATATCGGGCGAATGATTATTGTTATTACATTACTATAGTAAATAGTGTGTTTAGGATTTGTTTTGTACGTAGCCGCAACATTTTAAAATGGGATTAATTAAGTTAATTAATACATTATATGTAAATAACAGGCATGATAAGAAGGAAAGAAGAGCCTAAACCAGAAGTGGATGATGCCTTTACTCCTTTCATTGGCTTGAGTAACTTGCCTTGGTCCCTTTGGGAACCTAACCTCGCATGTGTCTCTTTGTGTGTGTTAGAGATGACACCAAGTTTTGCATAGGTCTCAACTCTCAACATGTATCTTGTTTTTAATTTTATATCTAAGTTGAGAGTATATATTTGATTGAAAAGATATAATGTTATGACACTATTTTAATTTTTACTGCGTATGCTCATTTTTCATAGAAAGAAAATTTATATGGTTATTGACCGAAATGGTCCCTCAATTATTGCTCAAATTTCATTTTGCTCCACTAACTAAATTTTTCATTGCAATATTCCTCAAACTCTCCACTTAGTATCAAAACGATCATACCGTCAAAGTCTGTCAATTTATCTTGCCACATGTGCATTTAAGAAGCTATCAAATTTCTTCTCAAATGAGACAGTAATGAATGTAGCTGAGAAAGCAATAAGGATCCACATAATTGATTTTGATATCCATTATAGTTTTAAATGGCTTTGCCTCATACAAAATCTCTCTTCTAGGCCTGGGTACCCCGAAGCTTCAGATTACTGGGATTGCTAGGATTACTAAGATTAATCTTCTACGACTAACTCGAAGAAGACGAAGAAAGAGGGGACAAAGAGGTGGGCTGCACAAACCCCACCCCCAACAACCAAATCCCATTCCCACCATAAAACTTTTTATTTTATTTTAAATGAGAGCAAAGGAATCATAGAGAATAGAAAGGTGGGGGGGGGTGATGGGGATGGGGAGATATCTGGGTGCAGTTTTTTGTTTTTTTTTTTCCTTTAGTTTCTTTTAAATTTCTTTCTTTTTTAGATGGTTTTGCCTTAAAAATACAATTTTGCCTATTCATTTCACGGAACCATTGATAGACTTTGATAGTAGGACCGTTTTCATACTAAATGGAGAGTTGCAGGACTATTGAAATGAAAATTTTAATTCATACACCGAAATGAAACTCGAGCAATAATTGGAAGACCATTTCGATCAAAAACCCAAACTTATAATACTCTAAACTAAAAAAACTAGTTTTTGTTGTTATGTTTTACACAGCTAAATTGTAAGGACAAAAGGTTTGCTTTCACCAGTATCATTGTTTTGTACAAAAATTTATTGGTAACAAACAAGCATCAATATGGTTTTTGCTTTTGAATGTAAAATAAATTATCTATCAAGTATTAAAAATTGAAGCAACTGTTGTTTGACCTTCTAAATATTAAAGAAAGGCAACAAATATTTTATTCAAGTTCACGACTACATAAGACAAATGCATCTTGCAAAATTTTAGCTTTTTATTGCACTAATTTCAATATGACTTTGGTTTTTGTAGAATTTTTGTTTAGCTTCCAATTAATCAATGTGAAAAACGGACTCCTAAGCTTTAATTTTAAGAGAAATGTAAGCATGTCTGTCAGTTTCTTTGGTAATGGCTATTCGGTTTGCTCAAGATTGAAAATGTTTGTTTTTTCTATTTAACAATTTGCTTCCTCATTGTTATATGAAATCCAAGCATCGTCGTGAGACTTCTAATTTGTTTGGATCTTAATACAATGATTAAAGTATAGTTTAATTTCTAGGTCTTCACATCTTAGAAACTTCTTGAATTAGATTACAAGGTTGGACTACATTTTAGGTCCTATTTCTAGCATTAAAGTACCTACATGGCGCAGGTGAGTCTTATGAATAAAATTTGCAGGTTACATTGCATATGACAAATAGATTGGAGTTTTCGTAGGAAGTATAGTAGGGTTTTTCGAAACTTTGATATAGTTAATAGGTTGTGATCGCTTTCTCAAAATGATTTGATCTGTATTCAAATCTAACTACGTGTACGTGAACGACAAAACTCACGGCAAAAATACTACTACGATTCTCCACATTAAAAATGTTGACGTAAAGAGACTAAAATAAAATAATGTAAATTGATGGAGCACTTTTTGAACATGTAGAACTAGAGACACAATGACAATGTGCTCAATCCCCTAAACCCCCTTTTACCAAATTCTCAAATGAGATTAACGTCTCAAAGACCGCTTTCCCATACAAATTTTGTTATTATTATCTTTTTGGTTGGACGTCTTGGTTATAGCTCTAAGTTTCTCTAATAGCTAATAAACATATATCACCTCTTATTTTAATAAATTTGTTTGATAAGAGCCTTGAATTTAGATCCAAATGCAATATATTTTTCATTGGATTTCATTCCACCCCAACTTCAATTTAGGCTCAGGGCAATTATTAAAAGCCAAAACTTAGGCATTGTTAATTAATTTGTCATATTTTATTTTCTTCTCTATTTTTCCCCTAGCACCCTTCCCAAAAAAATGAAAAGAGAGGCTTGAAGCTTTTAGCAGCATGCAAAGCCTTTGACTGGACAAATTGGTTGTACAGTAATTCCTCCAAGGAATTAGACAATGGAAAGCCCACGAAAATAACCAGTCATTTCATGTCAATCATACAAATTGTTTTAGCTTTGACCTTCACCTTTCAGCCCTTTTGAGGTTTCTTGCTTTTGGTTTTTGTTTTTCTAAGTGCTGCTGCCCCCTTTTAGCTCAAGCTTTTATGGACCAACCAACCATGTATACTTTGAGTCTCTCTGACCTCTTCAATTTGGCTGGACAGCTCACGTTTTGTATGGGGCACAGCTTTCACAAATGCTTATTTGTACCTGTCTGACGTCTGCATTTCAAGACTTTTTGCACAGCTTTAAGCTTATAACAAATGTTCATGTCATTGTATCAAGACTTGTATACTTGAATTTATTTTGTTGTGTGTAAAGAAGGCCTAAATTCTGGAGTATCGATCACGAGAAAGAGAGTCAAACTGTTATCATAAACAAACGCAAGTGCCCAATAACTAACTGGAGTTATAATATATAAGTTCTATACATGGAGCATGGAGTTACAGGTTTTATGGAGACTTTGGATGGCCTAGTCAATTTTTGGTTGTAATCTAATCTTACCAAAACCTCAAGGTCACATGGTTGCAATATCTAGGCACCAGTATGTCCAGTCAAAGAAATTGGTTCTTTTCAAGTACACGTGCCTCCAACTGACATAGAGCAGCAGTATCCCACCAAATTTTGGCTCTAGTCGTTTTCATGTAGTTTCTAACTCTCTTTCAGTTTAGCGAGAACTTTTCACAGTTGGCATAAGATTTTCTGTTCCTAGACAGTCAAATTGAACTACTCTTGTAAAGTCAAATGGTTAAAAATAGTTATCTTTGTAGTTGTATATTTGATTCATCGATATCTTGACGTCGTTGAAGGAAGTTAAAGTTTCACCCAAAATTAATTGATAATAGGAAGTAGCCTAACTTTTTATAAGCGCATCCTAAATTTCTTAATACAATCAACAATCGCTTGTGGCAAAAAAAAAACAAAACAAAAAAGGAGGAGCCGTTACTTTCTGATTTACATTTCTATGTATATACAGATTCTAGAGCAACTGTCAATTTCTTTATCCCTTTGTTCTTTTTCAAATGGTGAAGTTGTTGAACTTTTTGGAAATCAATATTATCTTAAATCAAAAGCCACAGATTTACTTCTTTTAATGCAATGCGAAAAGCTCACCATTGCCAAAGCTCTTGAAAGGTGACATAGCTTTCTAAGACAATAGACTAGCTAGTGACCCTTTAGAGCACTATCTTCTATAGTTGTATATATAATAGCACAGATACTTCACACTTATCCTTGCAGCACTATTTATAGTTCAAATTCATAGCAAAAAGCCAATAAATAAGATGTTCTGGGATATTAAATAAATATAGCTAGAGACATACCTTTGGTCATCCCTGAAACTAGATTTTGGTTCAGCTTTCAAATAAGGCTAATTTCTGTGAGTGGTCTCAGTCTATAGCTCAGTGTGCTTTCAATTTCCTCAATCAAATTTTTGTGCTGTTTGCATTTAATGGGTTTTTTGGATGTTTCTTTCATGCTGGATGTTTTTTTCTGTTCAGGCACTTGTCCATTTCTGAAGGGTGGTTCATTCTGCAATTAATGTTGTTTCAGTGAGTTTTGGAAGTGGACAAAGCCAAGTTTTGATCTTATTATGCATGAAATCAAGTGGCAGGGTAATAGTTTGATGCCATTCAAGCTCATGGAGGGAATTTCAAAGCACAAGCGTTCCAAAAGGTAGCTTTGTGATCTTCATTTTAAACCCTTATATATATATATATATATATATATAAATTCCACATTCAATTTTCCATTTGCTTCTTCTGTAATCCTAATGATGCTTAGCTTGAACTACAAAAAGATTTTTGAGAATCAGAAAAAATAATTTAATGCATTTACTGGATCTACACAGGGCAGGTGAATTTAATTTCTGAAATCTTCTAATTTGATTTTTCAATGGCAGAAGATTCAATGAGTTATTAGATAATTTTAACAATTACCCATTTAACTAGTCTTAACAGCTGAACTGGGTTTGCCAGCCAGGAGTGAGGAACTGACCACCTTTGCAATACAGAAAACTCTATGAGGTATATGCTTCATTTCAGATTTTAACAAGTTTTGTTCTCCTTTACTGACAGTGAACCAGTAAACAGAAAATTTGAGAAAGATAAACTGAATAGCATCCTCGAAGCTCCTTACAGTCTTAAAATGGTAAGAGTTGTTCTGTGCATAATTGCTATGATCTAGACAAGTTTTACTAGACTAGCCCAGTAGGTCAGAATGTCAGATATATAGGTCAATTTTAAGCTCTCTTATTTCTGGGAATCACATGCATTCCTGTTCATTGCTCTGGTCCAGTACAGTCCAACTGTTTGACCAATTTTATTTAAGTAGCCTTTGTTTGTTTCGTACAAGGAAATGGGAAGACTGAACTGCTATGTTGAAGCTATGATGAAGAGGCAATCTACAGATTCCGATGTTCAAAGTTCTTTAAATCAGGAGGTACAAATCTCAGCTTATCCAAGTAGTTATTGCTGGACTAGTTAATTAAGCTTATCCAAATCAGATGTTCTTCGAACCAATGCATCCGATGATTTACAATTTCTTCCTTTTGTAGATTCTACAGCTTCAAAAACAACTGGAGGACCAATTTTTGGTACGGCATGCTTTACAGAAGGCGTTAAGTTATCGTCCATTATCACCGGATTCTACAATTGAAACCTCTCTACCAAAGGTAGTCTGTTATGTGCTTTAGGTGCAATTTATCAGTTCAGATGTGTTTCCTCTGTTTTCACTCCTTTGTATGGGATTCCACTATCATATTAGTTCTATTTCTTTTATTTAAAGGATATGGAAATGTAAAGCTGAAAGGTACATTAAACAGACATCTAGGAAAATCTTCAAGAAATTAAGATAAAGAAACAATTTGAGTGCCATTTTTAAAATAATTGATCTCAGACACTATTGGTTTGGAACTTTCAGTGTAGTTCAATGCTTCTTTTCTTCACACATCATTAGCTTAATTGTTTTTCCATTTTCCAAGATCTTATATTCCTTTTCCTTGACTCCAGTCTACCAAGGAAGTCATTAAGGAAATAGCTGTGTTGGAACTAGAAGTTGTGTATTTGGAGCGCTATCTTCTTTCCCTGTATCGGAAAACCTTTGATCAACAAATATCATCTGAATTGAGTGTGGCTCCTGGACAAGATGTTACACCAGAAAATAGCAATACAGTCACCTACTCTGATGATCTTATGTCACCTCGGAATTCGATTGTCAAACCACTAAAGGAATGCAATGACATAGTAGAACAACAAAAACTGTTAGATTCAAGCATTCATCGTACCTGCTCATCACTGTCTCAGCGTTCAACTTGTTCAACTAGAACTTCTCCTCGAACAAAATCTCGAGCTAAAGCTGTAGATTCATACCACTCCTTACCTTTCTCGATGCTAGAGGTAACTGAATAAGAGAAAATCTACCAAACAGCAGTTATTTATTTCATTTTGTTTGTCTCTTAAGTGTCCCTCTTATTAATATTATAGTTGCTTTGGAAATTATGTGTTTCTCTAATGTGTGGTTTATATGTTGCCTCTGCAGCAAGCTCAGAGTGCAACTACAAATGTATATCCGACAGAACAGCTTGAAACCTATTTCTCTGATCAAGTTCCAGACACACCAAACTGCATTTCGGAGGAGATGATTAAGTGCATTGCAACCATATTTTGTGAACTTGCAGATCCACCTGTTATCAGTCATGATTACTCTAGCTCTCCTATCACATCATCATCAACGTATAACTTATCTTCTCACAGTCAAGGTGAAAAGTGGAGCTCAAAACGCACAAAAGTTCCATTTTTCAATTCACATTTCGATAAGCCTTTCCACATTGAAGGGCCAGATGAAATGAGTGGACCTTATTGCAGAATGCTAAAGGTACATTTGATCTGTAGGGACGCTGAGAAGTTAGGAGATGTTGAACATGCACTAAAGAAATTTAGGTATGTCAATTCTGAGATAAAGATGCCGAATCCTTAATTATTTTGCATCATGCTATTTGTCAATATGTTATAAATTTGCTTTCCTGTCTGCTGTATCTGGTGACTGAGAGATCAACATATCCAGAAAAAGAACTCGTAACCAATGCTGTCCTCAGTAACAGAATGACATTACAAAGTCCACTGCGGTTAGATGTCTATCTTTAGTTCATATATATTATCTAGGAGTGCAGTGAAAGCTTTTGGGAGATGGAATTTCAACTTTGGTGCCTCTGTTGTGAGATTTGTGATGAAGTTGTACATGCCACATTAAATGGCAATTCATTTTTGTGCATGGTTTTGAATAATTGCTTTTAGTTTGACCTCCACCATGGATAACCTTTTGCTAAAGGTAATTGGAGAAGGGTTTCCGCTCGAACATGCATGAATTGTGATAGTGAAAATTACTTTAGGCCTCATAAATATGTTCTTCTAAATTTGTAAAACTTAAAACTTTCTTATTGTAGGTCACTTATCTTTCGATTGGAAGAAGTTGATCTCAGATCGATGAAGCATGAGGAGAAGTTGGCTTTTTGGATTAATGTGCATAATGCACTCGTGATGCATGTATGATTCTACAGCCAAGAAAGAGTACAAAACCTGATGGCTTGATATTCTTATTTTTCTTTTGCGGTTTTTCGTTTAGTCTTTGAGCATTTCCAATTTATCTTATCTGTTGTCTTCAGGCATTTTTGGTCTATGGCATTCCACAGAATAATCTAAAAAGAGTTTCACTGCTACTCAAGGTAATCAGAATTGTGTTTTTACAATTTTTGTAATAAGCATGGTGCACAATTTTCATTACAAGCTTCTGCATTCTTCAGGCTGCTTATAATGTGGGAGGTCACGCCATAAGCGTAGACATGATACAAAGATCCATTCTGGGATGCAGATTGCCTCGTCCTGGACAAGTAATCTCTCTTTCTGTAACAACTAGTTCATATTACGACCCATTTACCTTCTGGTACACACCATATAGAAAAGTTAATTTGTCAGTACATGTTTTCTACTAATTTATGATTTTGAAGAATCTACTC